TAAAACAAGACAAGAATCAAGACCTTATATCAAAAAAGAAGGAACTTTCTAGCCTATGCGAGAATTCAAAGGAACAAGAAAGAATTTCTAAGGCAAACCACTGTACAAAGATTCAAATGAACCAATCAAGTTTAGCAACCCCAATAACGTAGGATACAAACTGTTTATACCAAAACAATTCAACCCAAGGAAACGTGAATACAATTGAGATAGAAAATACTCAGAAGAAATTTGAAAGAAAACTCGAAAACTCAAATTACTTGAAAAACTCAACAAGAAATTTGGAACAAAGAAGTCTATAATTTTGAACATGATGATGAATATACTCAATACTTGAAATTATGTGAAAAACATCAAGAACTATTTCACTTTGAAGAAGAACCCTCTGATAGTGAAGAGGAGGATGAAGCTTCCCAAGAATAGTATTTCTAAACAGAAGCCTGCATGATACTCAGGACTCACTCCCAATACAACTTAATAATGGCTATATCACAGAGTTTAATCAAATATGTAATAATAAAATATTTTATATAAATAAAAATATAAGTAAACCTTTGATCAAAGTAAATGATTACTCTGCTACAAATACTTTATATTGGACTAATGAATCAGTAAAAACTGAATTAGATCCAAAAGAAGTTATTTTTATAGAAAAATTGGAAACATACCTGCAGAATTCAAACTTAATGAAGAATCAATATGTATATTAATGAGAAAGAACCACTTAGAACTCTAGAAAAAAATAATCAGTATTACCACTTTCAATCTAAAAAATCAACCACAGAAGCAGTAGGATCTAACAATATCACTATAATAAGAAAAGCAACTATAAACATCACAATCAACAAATACTTCTTTAAAAATATTAAAATAGATATGCTAGGATCAAATCTTAAATACATTTTATTGTCAAATAAAACAAAATGACAATTGGGAATACTAGTCAGACCTTCTGATGAGATTGTTCTTTTATAAAGCCTACCTATAACTAACCAAAAACAGCCAGACCATAAGCAAACAGATGACCAGCTCTATCTAGCTGAACTAAGTGATAAAAAGCTATATAGCAAGGCACGCCGAAATCTGACCAATGATGACCAAATTCCAAGGAGTGAAGAGTTATCTAATAAACCTGAGTCTGAAGCAATTATTAACATGGAGGAGTCAGATTCTGATTCATCAAGTGATTCTTCCAGCTCAGAAGATTCGTCCGAAAACTCTAACCTAAGTGAATTAGAGCATTCAGACAAAAAAAAAA